CGCCGCGGCGATTTGACAGATTGCCTTGTGGAGTGCGCACGGTGCGCACTGCGCGCTCCGAGTGCAAAAGGGGGGGGGGCGTACGCAAACTGGCGGCGCGGTGGCGCGAGGATCGCTTCTGGCTTGATGAAGCGCGCCGTCCGGGCCGTATCACGCTATCCGTCTTTTGGCGGGAAAGTGCAGGGACGCAGTCGGGGGACGTGTCACTCTCGCTCTCTCTCGCGCCCCCGCGGGACGACCCGTGAGTGCGACAGAGACGCCATCTTTTGGAATGGCTCGTTAGTAGTGCAACGCGGCCTCAGCACTGCTGCTGCCTGCCGCTGCCTGCTCGTCAGCGGCGCGGCGGCTGGACGTTCGAACGTTTTATTTGCAAATGAGCGCTAGGCCTTTTGCATTTCCCCGCTCGTCCAGTCGGGGCGGCACGGCACGGCACGGCACGGCGCGGCGGCACGGCGCTCCAAGGACGCCGCAACAAGTGGCGCTGCGGCGCGGGGTATCGCCGATCGGTCACGGTGCCGCCCGCCGCGCCGCACGCCGCACGCCCTGGGCAAGGGCGCGGGGTATCGACGACGTTCCACGAACCGCCGGCCGCGCCGCAAGTCGTCGCGCTTGGAAAGTGAGCCGCGAGTTGAAGGTGAGCCCGAGGCGAGCTCTCGAAAATTAATTTTCGCGGCGCGAGATGGGTCGTGAGACGTCCGCCGCGCAGAGCGACTCCGAAGGCTCGTCTCGTCGCGCTGTCTCTGTCGCACTCCCGGGGCGTGCCCGGCGGGCCGTGGCGGTGCGAGAGAGACGGGACGATCCCCGAGTCCGGCGTGGCGTGGCTGAAGCAATACGGTGGGGCCAGCGAAGGCAGCCAAGTGGAGTAGGACCGCGTTATTGGAGTCCATCGCTCACCGGCCGGCCCCTTCGGCCGATGCCGAGGGCAGTGCTGCCATCGGCCAGGCCGACGGCTGCCCATGGCTGCCCGCAGTATGACCAAACGCACAGCACGCCTCGCGCCGAACGTGAACGCGTCCTCACGGCCCCGGCCAAGGCCATCCCAGGCCCGGCCGGCCGGCCGGCCTCGGCCAACGCGATCAATCATTTTCCACGAAAACGCCGCGGCAGCCCGGCTAGGAGCCTGCTGGTGCCGTCCGCAGTCCGCAGTTCGTGAGAACGACCCGTTTGCTCATCGGGTTAGAGGTTAGCGGAGCACCTTCGCGATCAAGCCCGTCAAAGCCCTCGCGGTGAACCGAGCCGAGCTCCGGAGCGGCTTGTCGCTTTGTCGCGCTGCTCTGCTGCCTTTCTCCTGTCCGCCTCGCCCAGCTCGCCGAGGAGAGCGCCTGGGAGGTAGGCACCGCGTGGACTGGCGCGCACGGCCTGGCTGCCTACCCCCGACTTCGCAGGCGCTAGGCCGCTCTTCAGCGGGTCGTCGCTCTGTCTCTCTCGCACCCATACGGGACCCCTATGAGTGCGAGAGGGACAGAGCGACGAAAACGACTCTCGGAATGAGTCCGCCGAGGCCAGGCCGAGGCCGTGAGGCGAAGCAGGCACCGCCTCGTCTCATCTGCCCTCGGCGGTGACCCTTCGGCCCTGGAGCCTTGCCGCGCCTTGCCCAGCCTTGCCTGGTATCGGCCTGGCCGACATGAATTGAAACAGATATACGACCACAGGACATCCATCAGGGGGAGGCCTTCACGACGGCGACCTTCGCGACCGCCGCGGGAAGACCTGGAGACCTAAAGGAGACGCACGACGCCGCGGGCCTGGGAGTCTGGAACGGAGCGGCGAATCTGGAGAACATGAAGGACCTCGAGGGCGACCCCGACACAGGCAGAGGCAGCGAAGGACGCCGGAAGCGGCGGAAGACAGGCGCGCGTCTTTCTGCGAGTGAACCGTCCGGCAAATACTAAACCGCGCACTCAATGTCGTCCTCAATGATTGGCTGCTGCCTAGCTGCCCCGCGCATCGCCACGGCACGGCACGGCACGGCGCGGTGCGTCTCATTGACTGGGACATGTTGAGGCAATCCCCTGTGAGGCTGCACTTTTACTGGTACGACGGTACACACGGGGCAGACAGACACACTGTCGGCCAGACAGAGGTCGAGGAGACCGAGTGAAGGGGAGAGAAAGGGACGGGAAATGCAGAGTGTGGCGCGGAGCCCAGCGGAGCGCACTGGAAAAGGTTGAAAAGACGCCGCCTTGCATGCGTCTGCCTTTTCCAGTCGTGTCAAGCAACAACAGCAAAGAATCTAAAAGTCTGGAGTATCTTGGTATCTGAGCACCTTCATGTCAAACCCCCTGCAGCAACTCCACAGCCATCGAAAAGAGTTTCCCATCCCCGAAAAGTAACATGTTACTCATGTGAGAGGGGCGTCTGCGACAAAATGGCCGAAATAAATAATGATGGCTGAAATATGCCCGCAGGGGCGAGAGAGACAGTGACGGCCGATCCTTCCGAATGAACCGCACGGCAGGGCAAGGCCGGCAGGGCATGGCTGGCAGGGCATGGCCGGCATGGCCATGACGAACCCCCAATGCGAAAGCACACTGCGGGGGCGGGGGCCGGGGCGGCCGGGCCGGCCCGGCTACGCGTTTCCGACGAGGCCAAAACAAACTTAGGCGTGCCGCAGCCCCTGCGGGGCCCCGGGGGCCGGGGGCAGAAGGCCGGGCCGGCGGGCACGGGGCGGCCGCATGATGGCAAATTTTGCATTTAGCGGAGAGCCCCGGAGCGCCTGCGCCCACGAAAGGGACCTCTTTGGACCGGCCCTGGTGGCGCGGGGGGGGACGCGGGACCCCCCCGGGGGGTGCCGCGGGCGCGGCCCGCGGCGGTAATTTTGGTTGCCCTAAGGAGCGGAGAGCCGGGGGTGCGGCAGGGCCTGGCGACGAAACCCCAAGACGTTTTGTTCCAAGTCGGGTGGTTGGCAGGGGGGGTGGCGAGGCGAGGCGAGGCGAGGCTCTTTAGCCGCGCCACTACGAGTGCGGTGCCGCGGTGCGCAGACGGGAGCGAGAGGCGAGGCGAAGGGAAGGCCCCTCGCCGTCAAGGAGTCAAGGATGCAGCACGGCGGCCGCCCCCGCAGGCCCTCGGCGGAACACCTGGCACCGAGGCACTGCTCGATTCCCAGAGCCGGGCGTGAGGGCCACTGCGCTCGCAGTGCGGCGAGGGTTGACAAGAAAAAAGTGGCGGCCGCGCCCCGCCAGTCCCGCCAGTCCCGCCGTGACTCAGCCGGGTCAGCAGAGGCAGCGAGAGGCGAGGCGAGGGGCAGGCACGGCGCGCAGCTCGCGGCTGTGGTGGGTCAGTGCGGACAATTATCGAGGCACGTGGAAAGGAGGAAGCACGACGCGGCCGCCCTCGCCGCGCCCTCGCCTGGAATAGCCTGGCAGGTAGGCACCGCGCGATTCCCGTACGCAGACGAGCGCCGCCTGGCGGCCTACCCGCCGCTCGGCAGGCTGAGGGCCTCTTGCCCAACAACGCCAACAACAAGCTGCTGCCCTGGCCCGCGCCCCCGCGCCCTCTCCCATCCTTCAAGGAGAAAGTCCTCGTCCGATTGTTGCTCGCGCCGCTGTTGCCCTGCAGGCCGACTCCGAACAGCGCCCCGCCACTGCCTCTCTCGCGCTGATGCAGGATGCTGCACCAGTGCGAGAGAGACCGAGCGGCGACACCGACGAGCGGAAACAGAGAATCGGACGGCTGGGCCAGCCGGAGGGCCCGCCTGACGTACCTGACGTACTGCGTAGGGGCGAAACCTGGGCAAGCACCGCCATGTTTCACTGCGGCTGTCCGTCGCCGTGGCGGGGCGGAAGGGGGGGGGGCGTCGCGGGGGTGCGGCTCAATTTGCAATAAATAACGGCGCTAAACGCCTGCCGGCCTGGCGGCGAGCGACGGCCAGGCAAGGCGCGCTTGCTTCGCTTGCTTGGCCAACGCCTCGGGGATGCCGCCGCGCCGGCTCCGTGACAGGCGGCTGCAGGCAGCGGAACCGAGCGCCAGAAAACAAATATTGTAATTATGCAAAGAATTGATTTTCACACCTGACAACCGGCACAGCATGCCTCCCCGGGGAAGCGCGTTGGAGTCAGGGTTACGCCCGCCCCGGGCACTCCAGCCAAGCTCCAGCCGATCGCCTGCCTGGATGGTGATGTGCAGGACGGTGCAGGCAGGGGTGGGCGAGGGGGTGGGTTTAAAGGAAGGGGATCTATGTTTCTTCCCCACTTCGAGGGAGGCCCCACTTTGCGCCCCCGCCTTTTTCGTGAGGCCGGCTCTGGTTCCGCCCTTGGCGCGGGAGACACCCGCTCTGCTGGTGTCTGGATGCTGGAATCATGGAATCCCATTCCGCGGAAAGCACTGGACGGGACGATTCGCCGTGTCGATTTGATTGCTAATTACCACCTGACTAATCGCGGATCGTGCGAGTGGAGGTGTCGCGTCGCGCTCCAGGCAGGAGGCAGCATAGCTTGGAGCCAGCTCTGAGATCACCGCTCAGCCGGACCTGGCCTGGCTTGGCTCGCCGCGCCGTGGCGGTCGGGTCGGCACCTGACCCCACGCTGCCCCCGCGTCGGGCAGTCCGCACTAGTCCGCACACCCGCACCGCACCGCCCCGGTCCTGGACACGTCACCTCACGTCACGGACCTGCCTTCCATGACGTCGCCTTGGCTACGCGTTACGCTGCACGCGGAGATGACGACCCTCGTCAACGACGCCATCGAGTGAATCACACTTACCATGTCATCGTTTTTTCGTTGAGGCGATCCCCGTTTTGGCGCGCGCTGTACAGGTGTGTGTATAGATAGGTGCGAGAGAGACAGAGCGACGAAACCAGTACAGTGCTCTGAGGCGCGGCACTGCGAGTCGACAGAGAATTTCCTCTCGGGAAAAGGTCTCAACTAGACCCCTCGTTCAGTATTTCAGCCTTCAGCTCGGCTGGCAAGCTCTGGCAGCAGGTTGCCTTCTGCTGCCAACTTGCAGATCCATCGTTTGGTGGAAGAAAGCGGATTAGGCCTCCAAGATTGGTGCAAAAATGTCATCTTTGTATGAAATTTATTGTTCACTAAAATACTACACAAATAGTGCACTAGTAAAGAAATAATGCCCCAAGGAGAAGAGGAATGTTTACCTTTAAAAAATATTGATATAAAAAGAAATACTGTACATGGCAGTTAAGTGTGATACCTTGACAGTTTACAATTGTTAACCACAATGATGACACAAGAGATTCTAAAAACATGGAAACTTTAAATTGACAGCATCAAATTTTACTAATAAATTAAAAAAAAAAACAATCAATAGTAAGAATGGAGTCCTGCATCACATCTGTTCAGTTTTGTCCAAAGCAGGCTGGACTTCATTCTTATAAAAATAAGTAGAGCATAGACAGAGCAAAATTTTTACAAATACAGAAATTCTAAAATCATCATAACATTCAAAAACTCTTGCTTTCTCAGACGTTGTCAAAACATCGTTGAAAGCCATCAGTAATAAAAACAAGCAAATAATGTACATCATACAAAATATATAAAATGACATGATATTCATGAAACATGGTATTTCAGATTTTAAAAGATTACAGCTAGGCTAGAATTATAAAATATGTAATACTTTGATACAAAAAAAAATAAAGCTAATAAAGTGGACGGATAAGTAAGATGACCTCAGGCAGTCTGGTGAATGTTAGTCTTAAATTATCTTTTCATTTTAAAGAAATGGTCACTTGACTTTGTGCAATATCTACTGTAAAGCACAGTCGACAAACTTGACAAAAGTTCTAAAACTTACAACTAAAGAGATTATGAAGTGTTTAAGTCTACTTCCAAGGTCCCTCAAAACAAAAAAAGGGGGAAAATGAAGGGAAATCTTACAAGTTAGTCAGATTCAACAATAAATTATTCAAAAATTTAAGTCACATCTTTAAAAACAGTTCAAAAATGGAAATGGACGGAATGATAGATAACAGTGGACATAGTAATAATTTTTCTAGCTTCAATACAAGTTGGAGTGAAAACAATACATGGTAGAGATTTACTTTTCACACCTACAAAAATACAAATCAAGTCATTTACTGAATAGGTGATGTGGAAATAGTTCCATGAGGAGTTGTTGGTCTTGATCCAGCAAGAGAGTTAGCAGTAGATGCATTGAGTGAAGCCATGGTACCCATCTAGAATGGTAAAGTGATATGTAGCCAACATATTGAACAAACTGAGGATGGAGGTACGTCAAAAATAAACTGTAACTTACCCTCAAATGAGCATAATCCTCAATCTTGGAAAGATTTCGTAGTTCCAAATAAAGTGAGTAGTTCAGAACCCAACCATACACATTTATAATTGAAAATAAGGACCAGAGGAGGCACATGGTGATGTTGTAACCAAATATGAGATCATTTACAATGGATGCAAACAAGAAAGCAAACAGGCGGAAAACGGTGAAGACAGCAAAGGCATACAGCCATGGTACCATTTTGTGCTCATGTTCCTGAAACACAAAAAGATTAGTCAAATAAATATTCAGTTAATGGAAGAAGTGTGTCAAAAAGTTACCTAAATGAATTTACCAACCTTCCTTAAGGAGGAGATGAGAATACAGCTAGTTACAAGAGTAACCAGTCCCAAGATGAGAGAAAAGAGGGCAAATGCTATCAACGTGTTACGAACTGCAACAAAAGGTAAAATATGTGGTGGTGAAGCGAACCCTTAATGGCCAGTCTTTATATTTTCAATAATGCAAAAATATATCTAGCTTACCATGCTTATTACCAACATAAACAAATTGGTAGCTTATGACATAGTAACCATAGTGATTTGTTCCAGGCTCTGCCATGGCAAGGCAATATATATCAAACAGAGAAGTTATTATGGTGAAAATACTCAGTAGCTGTAAATTAGAATTCAGTTCATTGGTTAACAGCAGAACAAGAAAATGGGTAAGTGCAAAGTTTAACTTGAGGTTTCTTACCAGTGAATAAAAGGCGATCAAAAGACAACCTCTTTGGATGTCCAAAATAATAGCATCCTGCAGAATTGGTTTCTCGTACCAGGGTACTTTCAATGACTTTATTGAACGTGCCGATTTGAGTCCAGCTGACGATCGACTGGTCACATGAGTCATATGAGAGTATACTGATGGAGTCCCCATACTAGGGTTCTTCGATTGACTGTAATGCATTGTGGAAAAACCTGAAACAGAGCGGGTGAGAAACTGTGAGATAAAGGGTAAGATTGCTGAGAGAAAGCAACAAATGGGTGTGATATAAAAACAACCCATTTGAAGAGTGTTCGATCTAAACAGAACTAAAGTGTAAGAAACTTTCGGCAGTTATTTTTGGAGCTCTGAAAGGGCGAAGAGAGGGACTGAGTAATAAAATACAACAAATTGGCGAAAATAAGAAATCAAAATAAAGGTTATTTTATGTGAGACGCCCTATTGGGAGGGGACGTGTTAAACCAGTATCGGGGTGGTTCAACAGGTGAAATGAAAATGACCGAATTCTTCAAAGTATGTAAAGTGAAGCCTAAAGATATTTACCTTAATTGTTGCCCTATTAGTTACAAAATATCGGTTGTTGTTGTGTTTTTTGAAGTGACAACAAATACCAACGCAGAGGCGTGGTCTTTCGACATTCTTTTGTCTGTTGCCAACCTACGGAACAAGTTAAGGCAGACATAAATTTTAATTTGGGATATTTTGATGTTTTTTATCTAGTTTGAGGACATTAGCATGAATTAAAAATTTTAAATATTGCGTTTGCGTTGCAGCATAAAGACACTCTGTTGTAAGTCCGCGAAATCCTAATTGTCTCTTTTTAGTGTTGGTAACAGTCAGTGGCTGAGAAAAAGGACGCGGGGCATTTCAAACGTCACTTTAAGTAACTTTGCGCACTGCCAGCTCTGCTTCTTATTCTGGTCGAGCCGAGTTCCAGTTCAATGCTGAGTACTAGGAGCCCGCCGAATGAACTCTGAGTGTCAGGAGGAGCACCTGCACTAAATTTTACATACTGTATATTTGTCCCATTTTGGCTGAGTGGTACAAGGGAAAGGGATGAGAAACTTCAGCTTTACAAGAGGATATCCACAATTTATTTAATTCATTAGCCTTTAAGAGCACAGCTCTTCCATGCTTACGTCTACAATAAAAATCGACGATTAAAAATTTAAAGATGAACAACAGTGTGGGAGTAGTAATCACGTTTTAACCAATTTTAGTAACAGTTTTATAACAAAGCTTGAAGTAAATGCTTTCAGCTGGTTCTTTATCAGAAATACTAAGAAACAAGGACACTGATGGATCACACCAACATGGACACAGGAATTATCACAAGCGGCAAGACAAATACTAAGAATATCATGGAAAAAGTGCAATGTACAAAAGAGTCCCTAAAAAGTAGTAGAATTTGTGATACACCTCAGAAAGAGAATGGGGCACGTTACAGGTGTCTTCAGGCCATGTTAAAACAGTGAAAAAGTTATGAGCCACACAAACATGAAGTGTAATGAAGTTCATGCAGAGGGTGTCATACTGCAAAAATGACAATTGTGAACATGAATTTTATTAAAGTATCAGTTCATCCCAGCACTTGTAAAAACTGTCAAAATTAACCATCGACATCCATAGGTTCATCTTGAGCTTGCTGTTGTTGCAATGCTTCCTGTTGCATCTGCTTGGATTTCTTCTTATTCTTCTTCCTGGCAATTTTGGGGTTCGTTGACTGCAGTAAAAGTTCCTAAAAAAACAATTTACGTTATAGTGCTAAACTGCAAATATTCATAAAATTAAACAGCGATGACCAATTTAACAAGTACCAACCTGTAATTCAGGGTCAGTTACTTGATATTCAGAAGAATATAAGTCAGTATCCAAGGGAAGACCCGTGATTTTTATGGTGCCAGATGGCATCAGAAGAACTGTGAACTTGAATTGAGCCACATATTGACCTGAAAGAGAAATTATAATAAATGGACATTATACCTCATGGTCAGGGAAGAAAACTGAAAAGACAAAAAAATCAGTGTAGCTGTACCTGGCCTGTCATACAAAACTTGGAACGGTTCAATTAGTTTGTGATTGACACATTCAACAGCTCCAAGCTTTGCCTTGGTTTCATCTTCAAAATAGCGGAGATTAAAGGGCATGGTTCCATGTTTATGAATAACATCACTATAGAATGCACGAGAAGCCTTCATCTTGAGTTGATATGACTCATCTGTCTTCTTATAGATTGTTACCCTTGAATTGGCCTCTCTGCCCTACAATGGGAAAAAGGGAAGAGAACAAAATTAAGTCATTGTATTTTATTACTGAAAGCGAGAGTTAGCTGAAAAAAAATATAATAAAGACTTACCACACCCTCTCCTGTGCTGACAAGCACATCCATAGCATAAACTTCGTGAACTTCAAGAGTAAATTTCTCATGTTCTTTCTTTTGTGCCTCATTTGGGTTCTGAATAACAGTTTTTTCACCATCAATTCTGAACTGTTTCAGCTGATGACTCAGCATTCCCTCAACTGGTTTGCATTTGAAGTCTTCACAGACTTTCTGGACAGCTTGAGTAATAGTGTAGGTCTAAAAGAAAATTTAAAAATTATAAAAAATTGATAAGACACATGACAGAAATTTAGAGGAAACAAGGGTGACCTTTTTCCAAACAAAGCATACAAAATAGTACCTCATTGCCAGGCCGCAGAAGTCGCAATGCTACTTCAGATGCATAATGGGCAGCAAGGATAACATCAGCTTGCCTTCCGGAGGCCTTGAGGCCAGATACTAGACCAACAGTAATGGTGTGTGCAACAACAGCAATAAAACCATCTATGTGGGCTCCAATATCCCTGAAGAGAAAAGATAAAGTGAAATTCAAGTGTTCACACTTACTAAAAAAAACTCAAGCTGCTATTTCCTTTTAAAAATTGTTATGGGAAAAAATTTGATACATACACTTTGACCACATCTCCTTCTTTGAGTAAAACATCAGGGTCTTTTGGAGTAGGTGAGAAGTGACATATACAATTATTGATAGAAAGGGAAGTTGGGAATGCAACTCCCTTCTTGATATCTTTCTCTTTCTTGGCAGCCTTGCTGGTCTCATCTATGATGAACTGGTCACCTGCCTGGCAGATTTCTCGTACGTTTGCCCCGGCGACGCATTGTCCAAGAACAAGGGCCAAGGCTCCTGAAATGTGAAAACAACAAATATTATCATACAGTTGAAAGCAAATGAAAATTAAGGAGTGTGTGCAATAAATCCCATTTGAATCCCCTTTTTAAATATAATTCACAGTCCAATTTGTTTGATAGGAGCAATTAAATGCAACTTCAGTCTACGAGACAGGGCACGTAGCTTAAAGAAAAGGGCAAATCATGACGTAACTTTAGTTGAAAATAAAAATTGCCAAGCAAACAATGGAATGCTGTCATTATCAGAGCTAGAAAAATTAAATTCAATGTGGGAGAACGTGGAGTTTCTGAGATTGGTCTTAAGGAAGCGGACCTCCTGCAGCATTCTGAATGGGGTCACAGATGGGTGCACCAGAGCGACCATTGATGACAGACAGTCTGCCCGCGGTGTCAGCAGCCGAACGTGCCGCGATCAGAAACTACCGCGCCTGTCGAGCAGCGGCGCTGCGAGGGCCAGGAGGACAATATTGCGAAACACCAGACGGACCGCGGTCCCCACGACCCGTCTAGGTTAGGCTGGCGGCAACACGTAAACACCCTGCGCCGTGGCCGCGGCCCGGGCCGGGCAAACCGCCCCAAGGCACACGCAGGGAGGGTTGCTCACACGGCCGTCGCATTGCCACCGAGTGCAAGGCGCGACCCGCAGCCCCGCGGCCGACACCATCGTCCACATGGCAGCCGTGTCGGGGCCGCGGCGTTTGCCGAGGGCCACCGCCACCGCGCCGCGGCCCGCGGCACCAAGCCGGCCGAGGCGCAGCGGCAGCGCCCATATGGGCCAAAGAGCGGACTGCCCGGACCAACGGCAAGAGTACTTACGGTTCACGATATCGCCGGCCAATTTGTACTTGACGACGACCGATTCCTCGGCGATAGTCTTTTCAGCTTCATCTTTGTCAGCCATGGTTGGAAACTTGAATTGAACGGAGCTTGGGATGATGTGTGTACGCAGCGAGCGACTGCAGCGGTAGTAGTGCCGCCGCCGCCGCAGCTACAGCCACTTCCTGGCCGACAATGCTGCCAATGTTTCGGAGTTTATTGTCGCTTTTCAAACTCGCCCGGGCGGTGGGCAGACACCGTGGCCCACTGGAAAGGGTCGCAGGAAGCAATTAAATTGATCCGCTTTGTGCCTTGTCGCTCTGCAGAAATTCTGCTGAATCGGCGAGAACACTCTGTTTGTAATCAACCGGTGGCCTTTCGGATTTCCCTGTCAATAACCGTCTGCTATTTTATTCGTCCTGGCATTTGAAAAAGGCATGAGGCGCGACCGGTATTTGCTGAATTATTTCAACCATGAGCGACCTTCATATCAAACCATTGAAAAATATAGTGTCAAGTAAATCTGGTCGCCAAAGGCCCAGCATACGGTTGCTAACAAAAAACGAACGAAAAGCCTCAAATTGAACTGATGGCGCGCACGTCCTCCTCCACTCTGCGCACTGCGCATGCGCAGCAGGTGTAATCTCAGAACTTCTTGCTCTTCTTCACTTCTCTTTCAGCATTTTCCTCGTGACGAAGGGGCGAGCGCTGTTTGCCTCGATACATCACCTCATGACAGAAATCCCCTATTTCTGAATCTACGTGACGGATCTACAACATTCGGAAGGAGAACAAGCTGTTGTTTTCCTGGTTTCAAAAACGCGATCCCCACCTTGCTTCGAGCGAAGGCCACTAGATGGCGCCACTGACACGGTTTTGGACAAGGGAACTGGCTAGGGTTGCCACTTCCCTGTCACTCAGTTTTTCTTGGGTGTTCGGAGAGCAGATAGGTTTCCATCTCCACGAACGCCCTCCGACTTGAATGAAAATAACGTGGATTCGAGCGGAGTGACAAATGAGTCTCTCAAGCCCACCACGGACTTCATTCAGAAACAGCTGGAGAAGATGGCACCCGAATGAAGTCCTGGGAGTGGGGGCGGGGCGGCACGGGAGTGAAACCGCCTGTTGCCGCCAGGCAGCGCTACCGGCCGCCGCGTCTCTCGAGCGAGGGGCGAGGAGAGGAGAGAGAGCTGGCTGGCTGCTCGGCGGAATCAGTCTGCCTTGAAGGCTGCTCCGCCCCGGACGGCCACCGTGATTTCGAGACCGGGCTGAAATGCGAACGTCACTTGCTGCTTTGTTTTGATTGTGACTTCGATCCGCCTGCGCCCAGGGAGTCTGTGTGGACCGCGAGTGCGTGTGTGTGTGTGTGTGTGTGCGTGGCGGGCCGCGGGTTGGCTGAACCTCAGCTTGTTTGGATTACCATCGTTTGAACGCTGAATCGAGAGGTACGTGTCTTAGTGCCACGAGCTACCTGTTTGAGGTTGGCTGCCTCTCCAGGTGTCCTGATTGCTCTCATGAGGGGTTTCCTCTTACCTTGAAAGAATGGTCTATTACTTCACCAGGTATATTTCTGATGGCATATCTGATGGGCCATTAAAATTTAAGATGTGAGTGTTCCAAAATTTACATATTTAGATCTATTTCGTCAGTAATTTTTTAAAGATTCAAAATGTTGCTTTCTCTTAAGATTTATAATGTGGTCCTTGAAACGATCTAATTTATAGTGTATCTTACTTCCAGTGCCTCCTCTGACATTTGTCCTTAAAACGATCAAAACTGCCAATGTCATCATCCCATTCCCATTAATGCTGTGAACTACTTTGCATGTACATCGAATTCGACTGAGTGCAGAGTTGCATGGTGTCAGATTTCTAAGGAATGTGCAACTCAGTGTGCATAGCCACCATCTGAGATACCGCTACTGTACTGCCAAGTGAAACAGAGGTGGCAGCTGAGTGGGTTTACACTCTTTCGGGCCATGGCCCTCGGTCGCGCTCATTAGCAGTGTATTGATCCCGCATATGCCTCTGTGGTGTGCTGAGTGCGTACTGGGGGAACATGGACTCCACTTCGCGACCGCCGCTTGGGGACGGTCCCCGCCGTCCCCGTCCTGACCTGGCCCACGACGCCCCCGTGCGAAACGGCGCCCCGATCCAGATCCTGGTGATCGAGGCCATGATCGCGTTGGTTCCGCTCCGGCCATCGGGTGGCGGTCCTTGCGGGTCCTTGCGGGTCCTTGGCTGCATCGTTGCTCGTTGCACCACTGTAACGACGCCGCGTCCTTGCTGTCCTGGCGGTCCCCGTCGACGGGGTGCTTCCCCTGCATGCCTCGCGTTGCGCGGCAGCACGGCACGGCCCGGCGCAAATTACCGGTGCCTGGCGCTCCAGGCCGTCAACGACTCCAGCGAGGACAGCTCGAACGACCTCTCAGTCTCTGACATCAAACGCGAGTAAAGCATTCCATGGGCCGGGACGGGGTGGACGGGGTCGTCGTGGCGGCCGGCGGGTCCGGCGGGGTGTTGCCACGGTCTCGGCCGCTCTGCCGCTCCTCAGTTCGAGTTCGGGAAGTTTCCCGCCCGCAGGCGGAGGATCGTTTCGTCGCTGTCTCTGTCGCATTCATGGGGCGTGCCGCAGTGCCGTAGGCGAGCGAGGGAGACAGAACGGCGAACCGACCCTTCGGCCACTCCAGCAAGTAGGCTTTCCGCTCGGCTGGCCAGCGTCTTATGCAGCCCCTGCCGGCCCCGCCTCCCCCCGCCTCCCGCCGCCTCCCGCCGCCTCCCGCCCCCGCACTGCATTTCCTCACGTAATGCCACGCGAGTAGGACACCGGGACCTTGAGCCGCTCCGCCCGGCCGCCCGGCGCGCGCTCCGGCAGTGCCGCGCTGCCGCGCCCCCTGGACTCCCTGGACGCCGACGTGCCCTCGCGGAGGTCGTCCTCGTCCTCCGGGAGCGCGAGGCGCACGCCGAGGCGCGCCGCGGGGTGAAAGCTCGGCCGGCGTTCAAACACGCCGAGCCGCCGCGCTGCAGGCACCGCAGGCCCATTCCAAACAGGGCCGCGTCGCTCTGTCTCTCTCGCACCCCTGCGGGACGCGCCGAGGCCGTCTCGATGGACGGATGCCTTTACTTTATTTTCGTCAGCCCTTCGGTCGGCCGTTCGGCCCCCGGGCCCAGGGCCTGGGCCCTTGGAACGGAGAAAGTGCGGCAAAGGCAAAGCGGGTGCTTTACGATGTACGACGTCATACGACGCCCAGAGGCAGCTTCGGGTTGCGCGTCGCGGCGCGTCGCGTTCGGACGCCTGCATCGCTATTACGAAACCGAGTTGACAATACAATGGTCCCGGTGAAACCCGGGCGACACGATGACCCCCTGGTGGCACGCGGCTGCACGCGGCACGCGATGGCGCGTGGAGTCCTGGTGGAGTCCGCGCGGCTCTCTCACGCTGAGGCTGTCCTCTGTCCAGCGACACCCCCTCGACCCCACTCGTGTGGCTCGCGGCGCAGCAGGCCGTGCAGGCCGTCGTCGCCAGCCTCCGGATCAATACCGCGCCGCGATGACGCCGCCGGCGTCGTGTTTCCAGTGGGCAGCATGCGGCCCTTTAATTAGTGTGTCGTTACACGCTCCAGAAATGGCGTGCGCGTCGAGAGCCCCGCCGCCGCGCCGCGTCTGGCCGTCTGGCTCGTGCTTGTGGCGCTCGTCGGAGGCGCGGGGCGCGCGGGCCGCCACGCCAGGGTGGCTGCGTGGTATGGGCGGCCTGGTGTTGCTGCGCGTTGCTGCGCGTTGCTGCGCGTTGCTGCAGCGGGGACATTACTCTGCTGCGAAACAGTGGCGGTTAGCCACGCTACGCCACGCCACTCCACGCCGCGGCACGCCACGCCACGGCCACGCCCCGGGGAAAGTGGTGCGGGTGCGGTCTGCAGCGTCATGTCATGTCAGCAGGACGGCGCCGACAACGCGTCGTCGCACACGACGGCGTTTTGGTTGCTCCGGCCGCCCGCGCGCTAACGGCAGTCCAGCGCGTCTCGCCTCGCCGACGTGGAAGTGACGTGACGAACACAAAGGCCCAACCGGTTCCTCTCCGAGCGAGCGAGCGAGCGATGTGCGTCAGGTCGGGCAGAGCAGCAGAGCCTGGACGGAGTGCGGCAGTGCGGCCCCGCCGGGGCGTTCTTCTCCTTTCCTGGACGGGTTCCTTATCGCTGCCCGGGCTTCCCTGACCGAAGGCCTCAAGTGCCTCTGCAGGAACGGGAAGTTGCCGGGGGTTCCGCGGGGCGTTCTGCGGCCGGGGCGGGATGCGCGCGCCACTGCCCCACTGCAACGTCGATCGCTGTCCGCTCCGCGTTTGGCGACGGCGAGTAGTACAGCGCGGTGGTCGCGCCGGCCATGCCTTGACCCCCGGCGCGGCTTCGCGGCCCGGCCGGCCGGCCCCTCCGCGCCGAACTGGGCGACGACGTCACCGTACCGCCAGAAGTCTCGCGTGGTCGCCAAAAGAGATTGCGGTTATCACCCGCCGGTGGAGACTCGGCGGCGCGTCAGCGGAGGCCGAGCACGCCGTCATGGACGTCGCGGACGTCACGGGAGCCCTTTTCTTGCCCCACCCGGATCCAGCGCGCCGGGCCCTGGCCGGGCCGCGCCTGGCGTGGTGCAATGCGATAATTACGAACCATCGGCCGTTTCATTTTAGCGCCAATTTTACTGCCGCCGGACCGGACTTTACTTGGGCCAGTCCCTCCAGTCCCTACTCCCTGCGCCGACCGGCCGGCCGACGGTTTTTGTTCCGAAGTGGCCGCCGCCAGGTCCGCCAGCCCCTCGGCCAGCCCCGCCCCCTCCTCCTTTGCAACCTGGTTGCGGAGTGGACTGAGTGGAGCGACCTGATGGCTGGCTAATGTGATGCAACCTCAATCGGGTTCCGTCGCCCCCCGTCGCGTCGGGCTGGCCGTCGGTCTAGCCTCGTCACTCGGGCATTCCCGCCTGCTCCACGCCCTGCCGCCCGGCGGGTAGGCAGTCCCGGACGCCGCCCTGTCGCCGAGACTGCCTAGCCCAGACGGGGTTCAAACCCGCAGCCGCCGCGACCCGGCGAGGGAAAACCGAAAGCCTCCTCCGCAGGCAAGGCGGGCGCCACTGTGTGGTAGTACACTTTGTTGTACACTCGGCGAGCCAGCCCAGCCACCCGCGCCCCGGACTCGGACTTCCCGCTCGGCGTGTTATTGTTTTGGCAAACAAGCCGGCAACAAGCCGCCAATGGACTCGGATTATCCACGGGCTGCCCCTGCGGGCTGATTCCGAGCAACACCGTGCTTTCGTCGCTCCGTCTCTCTCGCACTCACGGGCGTTCCGCGGGAGGTGCGAGAGAGACGGGGTGTCGTTGGGGCCGCGCCAGCTAGCGCCAGCCACCCTGCTTGCCTGTTGTATATAGCACGAGGCGCTGGTCTGTCTGCCCGGGGCGCGGGGTCGCCGAGGTTGCGTCCCGGGGCGCTGCAGCCGCCACGCCGCCACCCTGGCACCGCGTGCACCGCGGCGGTATGTGTGCACACCGTGCACCGAGTGCATGAACCGCGGCGGCCGTTGCGACAAAGTCCGCCGCCGTCCTCCCACGCGCCGTCGCTGTTTCGTCCACCCGAGCCTCTCTGTCAGGGAATCCCTGCGGGCTGATTCCGAACGGGGCGGTCTCTGTCCCGCGCGTCGGGGTGCTTGTTTGGCGCGGAGGCGAGGCAGCCCTGGCGATTCCGCTGCCGCTGCGCTCCCTGCGCGAGTCTCGTGTATATCGGGCATTTGATAGCGACCTTCTTATCCTTATCAGTGACTCACTGCCTCAGTTTTCTCGCGTTTGTTTGTTTCCTCTGCATGCTTTCACGGCGGCCGCGTTTCTTCCTCGGTCTAGGTCGCAAGCTTCTCTCCCTCTCTCTCTCTAGCACAGGTCGCGAGCTTGTCTATCTCCCTCTCTCTCTCTTTGTAGCACGCGCCGCCCGCCGAGCCATATGTCACGACGACGAATTTCTCTGCCTCCGCCACGCGGCCACGCCGGGGACGCGGCGATGAAAGACGAATGCAGCCAAAGGAGTTGTTTTGTTGTTGTTTGGAGGTGAAAGTGGGGGCCTGCCCGGGCCTGCCCCGGGCCCGGAGTCTTCCTGGAGGCGGGCAGGCCTTTGGTTAGCCCGAGTCGAAATAAGGATCGACGGCGACAAGCCTGAAGCGACGTCGCGGCGCGCTTGCAAGGGCCGGGGCGGGTGTTTTTGTGCGCGTCTGTGTGGGTGGGCGTGTGCCGTACTGCCCGTGTGTGTGTGTGTGTGTGTGTGTGTGTGTGTGTGTGTGTGTGGTGTGTGTGTGTGTGCGTGTGTGCGTGTGTGCGTGTGTGTGTGTGCGCGCGCGCGCGCGTCCGCCCGAAGAAGGCTTATTGCAGGCGTGCGCGTGCGGACCGTGTCGTGTCCACGCTCCAAAAGTGGCTGGCTGGG